TCTATAAAAAAGACATCTGCACTCCAATGTTTATAGCAGCACGATTCACAATTGCAAAGATGTGGAAATAACTGAAGTGTCCATCAATACATGTGTGGATTAATAAAATGTGGTATATGTATACCATGGAGTTCTACTCAGCCACAAAAATCAATCGTGATCTAGCACCTCTTATATTATCCTGGATAGAGCTGGAACCCATTCTACTAAGTGAAGTATCCCAAGAATGGAAAAACAAGCACCACATGTACTCACCATCATATTGGTATTAACTGATCAACATTTATGTACACATATAGTAGTAACATTAATCGGGTGTCGGGCACGTGTGGGGGGGAAGGGGATGGGTATATACACACCTAATGGGTGCGGTGCCCACCATCTGGGGGATGGACATGATTGAAGCTCTGACTTGGGTGGGGCAAAGGCAATATATGTAACCTAAACATTTGTATCCCTGTAATACGCTGAAATAAAAAAAAATTAAAAAAAAGATAACTATAAACCCTCTTTAAAGACACAAAAGTAGGACTTGAACAATGAAAAGTCATCCTTTGTTTTGGTTAGAACATCACAACACTACCTTAAGACGTCAGGTCTCTCTAATTTAACTTAAAAATTTAATGCGATCCCAATAAAAATTCCAATGAGCTTTTCTCTTTTTCTTTTTCTTAACACTGACCATAAACCAGAAAAGTTCTGAAGGAAAAATAAACAATAAGAGTAGCTAGGAAAACACTGAGAAGGGAGGGACTAGCTCTAACATCAAAGCATACTACATGCATGTAGCTCAGCCTGTAATCCCAGCACTTTAGGTGACCAAGATGGGAGTGTCTATCCATCACTTGAGGCCAGGAGTTTGACATCAGCCAGGGCAATATAGGGAGACTCTGTTTCTGCAAAATAAAAAATAAAAAAATTAGCTGGGCATGGTGGCCCACACCTGCAGTCCCAGCTACTCAGAGGCTGAGGCAGGAGGATCCCAGAAGACCAGGAGTTCCAGGTTGCAGTGATCCATGATTGCACCACTACGCTCCAACCTGGGCAACAGAGTGAGACCCTGTCTCTAAACAAAGTACTACAAAGCCTCTCTAAAGCAGATGAATAAACAGGTCATTGGTCTAAAATAGAAGGTCCAGAAATAGCGGAACTACATATGAAAATCTAATAGAGGATAAGGGTGGTATCTCAAGTTACGTGGGCAGTGATAACCTTTTTAATAAATGGTGTTGGGACAGTTTGATACCCATTTGGAAAAAGATAAAATTAGTTCCAGTCCTCACACCACGCACAAGAACAAACTCCAAATGTATTAGAGATCCAAATGTAAAAAACAAATCAGTACGAGAACTAGAAGACTTCTATAACTTGGGTGTTGGGGAAAGTATGACTAAAAGTTATATGTTAAAATATGTAATATAGTAAAAGATGTAATAAAATAAAAGACTGGTAAATTTTACCACACAAAATAAAAACCATTTGCGTGCAACAAGAAAGCCACCATATGCAAAAACTGGGAGAAAATATTCATAACACACATCACAGGTAAAGGATTAATATCCCTAATTTACAAAGAACTTAAAAATTTTTTAAAAAACAGATCCAACTAACCAAGGCAACTTTTAAAACTGAGGGGTGAAAAAAAGACCAAAACTGCTACGGAAAAAGATGCCGGGAGCTGTACTCTCTTCCGGGACGGGACGGGCAGCCACTAGTCAGGGAGCCGCCCCCCGCCCCGCCGAGGCAGGGTTCTGCGACGTGTGGGGTCACCGCGTCCGACCGGCCCGCAGGGTCGCGCGCACCCAGAGCCTGGCTGGGCATCCTGCCGCCCCCTCCTCAGACCCGCCCCTCGCGCCCCTCACCATCCTCCCGGAGGAAGAGCGCCAGGAAGCGGGCCAGGCTCGCGGGCTCCTGGTCGACCTCACACTCCCAGCTTCGCGATCCCGTCGGGCTCTGGAAGTACACTTGCAACTTGGCTCTCAAGTTCTTCGGAGGCGGGAATTGAGGCTCCCCGGCTCCTCGACAGGCAGCGGGAAGGAGCCGGGTGCGGGCACACTCAGCTCCGCTAGTCCGATCCGGACTGTCGGGGCGCCCCACCCAACAGGCTTGTGCCTCGAACTTCTTTCGCTTTCATTTCTATGAAAACCGCTTCTCAAGATTACACACAGCTGTCCTCAGATTGTGTTGCCCTTTAGTAACAAACGTTGCGGTCAAATTGTTGGTTGAAATCCTGGATTAAGCCATGTGTTAGTTGTGTAACCTCGGTCAATTGTATCTGTACAAAGGGTATAGCCATAACTACTTCATGGTATTATCATGAGGATTAAATGAGATAAAGTCTGCAAAGCATGGCACATTAAAAACAAAAATCAGTGTTAGTTCCTGGGCATCCCATTCCTACCCCACCCTACACACCCATCCTCAGAAAAATACACTGGATCATTTTCTGTGTCCCCTAAGACAGGGCTGGAATCAGGTTCTCCTCTGGCCTGACAAGGCATTCTTTTAATTCGACCAACTTGCATGGAAGGCTTTTTAAAAAAAAATTTTTTTTATTTTATTTTGTTTTTTATTTCAGCATATTATGGGGGTACAAATGTTTAGGTTACATATATTGCCTTTGCCCTGCCCTAGTCAGAGCTTCAACCATGTCCATCCCTCAGACGGTGCGCACGGCACCCATTATACTTGTATATACCTATCTTCTCCTCCCCCCTCCCATCTGCCTGACACTTGATGAATGTTATTACTATATGTGCACTTAAGTGTTGATCAGTTAATACCAATATGATGGTGAGTACATGTAGTGCTTGTTTTTCCATTCTTGGAATACTTCACTTAGTAGAATGGGTTCCAACTCTATCCAGGATAATACAAGAGGTGCTAGATCACGATTGGTTTTTGTGGCTGAGTAGAACTCCATGGTATACATATACCACATTTTATTAATCCACTCATGCATTGATGGACACTTCGGTTGTTTCCACATCTTTGCAATTGTGAATCGTGTTGCTATAAACATTGGAGTGCAGATGTCTTTTTTATAGAATGTCTTTTGTTCTTTTGGGTAGATGCCCAGTAGTGGGATTGCTAGATCAAATGGTAGTTCTACTTGTATCTCTTTGAGGTATCTCCACGTTGCTTTCCACAGAGGTTGTACTAGTTTGCAGTCCCACCAGCAGTGTATGAGTGTTCCTATCTCTCCGCATCCACGCCAACATTTATCGTTTTGGGAATTTTTTATAAAGGCCATTCTCACTGAGGATAAGTGATATTTCATTGTGGTTTTAATTTGCATTTCCCTGATGATTAGAGATGTTGAACATTTTTTCATATGTTTCTTGGCCATTAGTCTATCTTTATTTGAAAAGTTTCTGTTCATATCCTTGCCCACTTTTTGATAGGGTTGTTTGATTTTTTCTTGCTGATTTTCCTGAGTTCTATATAGGTTTTAGTTATCAGCCCTTTATTGGATGTGTAACATGCAAATATTTTCTCCCATTCTGTAGGTTGTCTGTTTGCTCTCATGATAGTTTCCTTGGCAATTTTAAACATTTTATTTAGAATTTAACCCCATCTACATGCTAACATTTAAAATTTTTTTTTATTTCAGAGTATTACGAGGGTACAAACACTTTGATTACATAAATCGCCTTTGCATGTGGGAGTCAGAGATACAAGTGTGCCCATCCCCCAGGTAACATGCACCGCATCCACTAGGGGTGAATTTACCCATCTCCTCCTGGCCTCTCCCTGTATGGAAGGCTCCTGATCTGCCGGGCACTGTGTTAAGATTATAAAGATGAATTAGACACAGATCCCTTCTCTCTGGGGTAGGGTGGAAGTAAGGGGACAGAGAAATGAAACAGAGATTCATACAATTATCTGTATCACGAAAGGTCTGGGCAGGATATAGATGGTATACTCAAAATGGACAGTTGAAGAGAATTTAATAAAGGATTTACACAGGAGTAGGAAAAAGGTTAAGGGATGATGAGGCAGCCCCACTCTCCCTTTACCATCTAGGCTGAAGGCGAAAGGGAGGGGCATCTGGTAAGAGCTATACCCACTGGAAAGTGCCATCAGGCAGGAGCCATGACTATGATACTTTCCAGAGACAACCAGGGGAATATAAGTACCCCAGCCACTTTCTCCCCCTACCCTTCAATTCCTCCTGCTGTGGAATCCAAATATTAATAGCAATCAGAGAATGGAGTTGATATAGTACTTAGAAGTCAGCCCTAGTACCACCTCCAAGGCAGAGGGCAGGGTAAGTGGATTTTGATATCACATCTATATTGAGATACATACAAAGTATTAGGATAACAGGGAAATCAATGATTCATTGTAATTTGGAGACAAGATTGGAGGAAAGTTCCTATGGTAGTGGCATTTTGAATGAGACATCAAATGATGAGTAGGGGATTTCAGAGCATGAGGTGAAGAATGAGGTGTGTTCCCTCTCTCTGGATTTAGGGAGCATATATCCCTGTGCTGGGTTATGAGCAACCTGAGTCAGGCAACACAAATTTATTAAGCACTGCTACGATTTGGTTTGTTTGGCTCTGCTCCAAATCTCATGTTACAATTTGATCCCCAGTGTTGGAGGTGAGCGTCATGGGAGGTGTTTGGGTCTCTGGGGAGAGAGAGAGAAGACACAGAACAAAGGCCAGAACAATGAAAGTACAGACTACTTTGGAAAAGCTGGTGGTCTGATGTGACAGGACGATAGGGGCTTGGTGGCAAGGAAGGGACATAAGGTAAGCAAAGTAGAATGAGAAATACCCGATGGCCATTCTGTGGAGTTTAAACTCTGTTTTCTAGGCCAGTGGTTCTCAAAACGTGCCCACCAAGCCACCAGCGGCAGGCTCATTGTGAAGCTCATTGTGAAGCTGTAGCCCAGCACTGCATCTTACTTTGCCTCACTTCCCTTTTTATTTGTCCTTGGGCTTGCACCTCCCAAATGGTTAGTACCTTAACCTTTGCCTTAGGCTCTATGATTTAGATCTGATCAATGAATGACCCAGTTATAAAAGAGGAAATAGTACCTAACTCCCATATGGAAATTAAAGCAAAAACAGTACTAAACTATTGTAGTAAATGTAAGGAAGTCCAATAAAGGTCTGATTTTTCTCCTAATGACTACTATGACGCTATTTTTAGGGGATCATCAAATATCTCAGTGTTATTTTTTAATTTTCTTTTTTCTTTGGAGAGGCGGGTGCCTCTAATCTGCTGGTGCTCAGTGAGCTCTCTGGGCAATTCAGCACTGATGCCGGAGAGGTGAAACACACAGTAGGAGCAAGGAGGGGGCAGGTATAGCTTGGTAGGGTATTACATATGCTTTTTCTAGAAGGAGAGAAGAGATGACATCTGCAGCCTACTTTTATCTTTACAGTAACCTATGTGTTATAAAGGAAAAAAAAATTGAGATATGTGATTTTTACCGCCAAAAGTGGCAGCAGTGAAGAGTATAGTTAAGTTCTACTGTGATAATATGTAGCAAACAGCTGCATACAAAATCAGCCAAAGATGTCCATGCACACAGTATATAATTGTATTCCCAGAATATTCCCAGAATATTAACCTAATGAAAGAGAAAAAAGCAGTGAGGGAAACAATACAAACAATCTATTCCAAATATGGGTTTAACTTTATTTAAAGCAGATGCAGATGATAACACCTTCCAAAGAGCAAAAGCAGTAATCCAAATGCTCACCAACCACTCACACCGCGAAACTTGCATATGCACATACATTGCGATCCAGGATCTAGAATTTAGCAGAAACCAAAATTTGCTTCTTTCGTACCAAATTTAGCTAAAAGATTAGTAGATAGAAATAATCAATCATAACAGTAAAGAATTTAATGAATCACCACAAACTAAATGTGTAATCTGATTTCTTTTGAAAAAGACATATCACTGAGCTTAACCTTCCTCAACCCTGTGGACGAAGGAAAAAATTCTGGCTTTTAAAGTTCTTCAGATAGGACTTCCTTGGTGGAAATTTGCTTTGAGTTCTGTGTAGGGATCCATTTCTGAGAGAAGTCTAGAATGAAAGGATCTCATCAGCCTGCTTCATAGAGGAGAAGTACCCCTGTAGGAGGCAGTACAGCTCTGGGGTGCAGAAGCTCCGGAGCCAGACCACTTGGTTCAAATTCCAGCACTTCAATTTATTTACGGTGTGACCTTTGGCAAGTTACTTATCTCCTCTGTGCATCAGTTTTCTCAGATATAAAATGGGTAGACTAGTATCAATCATAGATGTAAAGCTCTTATAAAAGGGACAAAATAAGTAAAGTACAAAGTAAATATTAGCTATTATCTGACGAAAATATTATGTGTGTGTATGTGTATCTTTAGGAAAAGAAGATGACATCTTGTTTGCCATTTTTGGAGAGAGGCTAGGACACAGATAACCAAATAATTTGCTATGATAACTTTTATCTTACTTGAAGAACCATTTAAAAGTAAAATTTGACATGTCATATATGGCTCAACTCTCGCCTTTTTTCTTTCCAGAGAGAGTATCAAGGAGAAGGATTTTAAGGACAAAAACCTGAATTGGAGGGACTTAGTAAAGGGATAAAAAAACTAAAGAATGAGGGCTACAGTTAAGTAAGGTTATCTATCTGTTAAACCTGGAAGTGGGTTATACTAAAAAATACAAAGATATCCAGAGGAAAACAATGTTCAGAAACATGTAGAATTACTGTGGTAGGGCAAGTGCACCAGATATGGCAGGTTACAAGGAACAGGGAGCAAAGACCCAAGTGAGGAGCCCGGTCAGAGTTCAGGCACTGAGTGTTCCAGAGTAAGGAACTCACAAGCTGGGCACGCTAGTACGTGCCGGGAGTCTCAACTGCTGTGGAGGCTGAGATGGGAGGATTGCTTGAGCACAGGAGTTCAAGTCCAGCCTGGGCAACATGTTGAAACCTTGTCTCTTAAAAAAAAAAAGAAACTCAGTTTTCCAAATCAATGGTAAGGACTCCAGAAATGGATTCCTTACTCCTGCCTCTGCCAAAAAGTTAGGAAGCATATATCCCTCTGCTGGGTTACTAGCAATTTAAGTCAGGCAAGATTAATATTAAGATTTATTAAGCACTGTTATAGTTTGGTTTGTTTGGCTCTGGCTCCAAATCTCATGTTGCAATTTGATTCCTAATGTTGGAGGTGGAGCCTAACGGGAGGTGTTTAGGTCGTGGGTGCAGATCCCCCATGAATGGCTTGGTGCAGTCCTCCTTGTGGTAATGACTGAATTCCCACTCTGTTAGTTCCCACCAGAACTGGTTAAGTTACTAAGAGCATGGCACCCTCCCCCTCTCCGGTCTTGCTTCCTCTCTGCTTCTTCCACAAGTAGAAGCAGCCTGAGGCCTTCACCAGATGAACAATCTTCCAGCCAGCAGAATTGTGAGCCAAATAAACCTCATTTCTTTAAAAATTACCTAGCTCAGGTATTCCTTTTAGCAACGGAAATGGACTAAGACAGGCCCCAGCTGTATACCAGGCTCTGTGTCATTAAAA